CTTTCACAAAATGCTTCTTATTAATGAATCGTTATCAATTATTAATATAATTATCAATATCAGTTGACATCATAAGTACCAATATCAATACCAGTATATATCAACAAACTTGCGCAGGCTATATAGGATCTAGTGCATGGGTCGAAATATATTTAAAAAACAAAGAAATTTAAAAAATAGCATAGTGAAAGCATAGTAAAAGCATTTACATGATTATAAGAAGAATGTGGGAATTGCGATGATTTGGGCAATTCTAAATTAACTGATGTTGAAGACGGCAAAAACAAGCTTTAGATCGAAGGAATTTTTCCCTTTTTTTAAGTGAATGTTAAGCGCATTTTGCTATTTTTTAAATTTCTTTAATTCTAACACTTGGTTTTTCTGTTTTTACTGTTTTCCAGTTTTTTTTAGTCAGGGTTTTTTTATTATTAGATTTTTTCCAGCTAACACCATGTACATTTTTTTCAGCCAACACCAAAAGAACCAATTTATCACACTGGTGAATCGCGCATTGAGTTGGATTGGGCCCGTTACTACATTCTACGTTTCCCATATGTCTATGCTGGAGCACACGGGGCAGTTCAGAGACCAGCTGAGGCAACAGTGCTGGGTAAAGTGCTGGCGAATTGTATTGAAGTGACCTATACACCACTACATTGATCTTTGATGCCTTATTGATTTCAAAAGCTTTCAGCTTAGGGTCAATTGGCGCTTCCAGAATTATTTTTTTAGTTGAAAAGCTTCAGTGGATATTCGATTATCTCTAAATTCTGTAATTCTTCATTGTTTTTGTTAGTGAAGATAAGCGGGGAAACAGCATGCGATGCTCGCCAGAAATCAATGTTTTTTTGATATTTGATTTATCCGCGCCGTTTTGTGGCCTAAAAGGGAAATTAAAGGCTTTGGGAGTTCCAGTAGTTTTGTTTTCTTGTTGAGTATTTTTACTTTTTATTTGTCTTCTATCTGGTTTTATACAGTTTTATGCCCAAAATTACTGTCGTTGCTCTGAAGCATGATCCAGTGGTATGTCCGTTTTTCGAGAACAGAAGCGATTCCTGAATAGATTAGCGCCTATATGTAAAAATTGCCGTTTGTTGAGACCGACGTAGTGATTTTTTTTCCTTTTTTTTCTAGTAGTGCTTTTTCTGTTTCCTTTGTCTACAAGTTAAAAAGAATTTTAGACTTATATTTATTGGATAGCTTTTTTACCAGCCTTCGTCTCTCCCAAGTGAATAAAAAAGTTAGATCGAAGGTTTTAGGGCCATTACTGGCCAGACCACCGGGTGATGATACAACGGTTGCAGTGTCTTTGAAAAGAAATGCTTTTGACTCAAATCCTCTGCATATATAAATACGGGTATCGTCAATGTTGGAATATTTGACGGTGATCGTGTATATAAATGTAGCTTTTTTGGCTCTATTTACATCGTTACTCGGTTGACACTTAAGGCTAATTTGAGTCTTGTATTTTTTTTTGCTGATTTTTGATTTTTTTTCTTTGTTGATTTTTTGTCCTTCCGGCCGATTTTTTTGCACTGGGTGTATAGCTTGGCATATCTCACCAGAATTGATTGCTTCCCACTTTTTTCTGCTGCAAAACCCATTTGGACGCACCGCTCCCATGAAATATCTATTAGGATCATATAAAAAGACTCCCTTGGGATTGGTTTGGAGATTTTGTGAAGCTTAGCACTTGAAGTAAGGAAGTGGGCTTGAAAATTGACGCATTAAAGATGGCAGAGACCTACAACAGTCTGTGTGGAATTCTATCATTCCATTAGTTACTAAAGAGTTTTTTTTTGAAAAAAGCCTTTTTGATTTTGTTGTTTCTACTTTTGATCAGATGGATTATGCATTTTTGCTGTTCCTTTTTTTGTGCTTTTCAGCAGTAACAGAAATAAAAAAATCTGGTGCAAATTTGCTATGTGAAGTTGCCGCTCAGCAACTGCTCCCATTTGCGCTTATCAGTTCACTGATCACACACAGCTCCCACCATTGATTTATTTTATTCACCAACGAACAGTGGTGGTGGTGGTTTGGGAATTTTTTTTTTTGGAATACTAGTTAAACGTACTTTGCGGTTTGCTGAACCTGAACTTATCGATATGAGTATCGAAGATTAGGTCAATGATCCCAAGAAACGGTTCAAGG